TCTCGCTTGCTCTCGGCCGATAGCACCACCGTTCGAATCAACAACCGTTTCAATTGAAGACAGTCGCGCGAAATCCGTTTCGGCCGTTTCATTTCTCTCCACGAAAGAATGTGTTTGCGAACTGCAATGGCATGCAAGACGGTAACAGTGTGGCAGAAGAAAGAAAAACACAATTATCGAGTGATAGTGAAACGAAATAGAATGAGCACGTACACACACGCACACATACAGCTCAGACAAACAAATCGCAAACGACCTAAATTATAAGTGCTGCGGTGAATATTTTGAATTCTTTTCGGTTCATTCATGCGGCTGTTTGTTTATTTTTCCCATTGAAATTACGTAGTACATCTTTCTTGTCTGGTTTGAGACCGAATGCGATTGACTTTTCAATGGATGTGACGTTGCATTGTGTGTGCTCGGCAATGGTCAAAGACAATCACTTTTTACTTTGATCGAAATGAAAAATTTGCAACGAATGAAATGAGAACACATACACAGAGCAGAGAGGAAGGGAGGGAGAGAGTGACAGAGACACTTGTCTTGTCGACAGCTTTTGGCTTAACAACAAAACATTCGCGTCAACAACAAAATTCAATTTGCACGACACAAGAAACCGTTTCGACGAAATTTCGTAATCGATAAACAGAAAACATGGTATCGGCGCGAAGCGGGAAAAAGTGCGACGTGTGTGTGTGTGTGTGTGTGTGTGATGATAAATGTGTAGCCATGTGAAGAGACACTTATATGATTTAGAGTCAAATAATGATGAATGTGTGAGCATTTTTAGCGTATCGCCAATGAATTAACATAAATCTTATTCGTTGATGTCGCGACCAACGACAACATCAATTATTATTGGCAAGATCTGGTGAGTGCCACAATGCATGTAACGCATTAAAAACCAAATCAATTCCACCATTCGTTAATATCGGTGGAGTGTGTGTCTTATCGCCATACTGCTTTTTCATGTTTATGACACATCATCGCGTTCGCTCTTCAGCAGCGGAATTTTCTCGCGTTACGCGATTGGAAAAGAGCGTGTGAGTGTGTGTGCGCGCGCGCACCCTCGTATCTACAAATGCAATTTACTTTCGCGCGCCCGAGCTTTAAGTGCATTTTGCACAGAGAGCTAAGTGTCCAGATTAATTCGTACAAAGTAAATAAATTGTGCAATGACGTTTATTATGTATGACGAGGACCGAAAGAGTTAGCTAAACCAACCGAACGAGCCAAAATCGATTAGAATTGAATAAACGTACCACGCATGTATATGTCGAAACGAAAGAGAAAGAGCGAGAAAAATGAAGTTAACTGGCTAAAAAAAAAAGGCAGTTTTCACCAACCAGGCAGGCAACGTGCATCAGTCGTTAGACCTCATATTTTAACTGCGAATCTTTGATTTTACCACACTTTAACCAATTTGTTTGTTTCACATTATGTGTCTCGGCGGTCATACGTTTTATTTTCCTTTTCGTGGCATTGCCTTCGCTGCTGTTGTTTTTTTTTCTCTCATAAGTTCGTTGTTGCGATACAGTAGAGGTAATTTTTTTTCCACTGGCTGTGACGATGGAATTCATATCATACAATATAACGTGTGGTTGGCAGACGAAAGAAAACTTGCATTAATTATGGTTCAAATTGATGTTGACTGAATTGAAATTGCTCGTTACAAGTGTTTGCGTAAAAATGTAGATGTTTCTGTTCGAGACTCTTGATTGCCGCATACATTTTCTATTTATGATTAGGATCGTGCGCTTTTTTTCTCTTCTTCTTTGCCTTCTTCTACTTCTTCGTGGCGCGCACGCTGGTACACAGATTCTTGCAATGTGATCTCTCCCGTCGCTTGTGTGTTTCACAATTTTCACACACACACACACACGCTCGTTTCTTACTATGCACCAAACGAACTGGTGCAACATTCAAATCCAAATGGAAATCTGCTCGGTGTTTTTCATCGTTTGTCTCGTCTTAACATTCTTTTGCCGTGTGTGTGCGCGCGCGCCAACCAAAAGGAAAAACCAACTATTATGCATTCGAGCTAACAAAAAAGTTCCCTCTCATTTTTGGGTATATGTAACCTAATGTTTTCATTTGAAACGCTTCCCTTCACTCGGGCTTTCAATAGACAGATAGACTATGTGCAATGCATGCAATCATCGAAACTGTGTTACCAATTCAGCTGGTGTACGGAAGAGACCAAAAAAAAAATAGCAGTCTCATAGCCAATGGGAACGATTCTATATGAATGAAAAATTGATTATTTGGTATTTCTTTTTTGTTTGCCTCTCGGCATCGAATCAATTCATTTTAATATATGGCGACATGGTCGTTCTTTTTTTTCATCATACTTCGATTTCCTCATTTTAAGATACAACGACGACGACGATGGCGACGACAACTTCCCGGTCGAGAATACAATGACCGACAGAAATAATTGCAATTGCAACAAATTGCATAGGTTTTTATGCTTATTCAATCAGTAAGAAATTATTGATTGTGTGTCGCGCGCGCATGTGTTTGTGTGCTCGATTTTACTTTGGCCACATTTTTCAATCATGGGAAATTTTATTGGCGCTGAAAAAATGAATAACAATTTCAATGCAACAACAATTTAATAGTCAACAGTCTTTGACGACTGCTTTTGGGATATTGATCTCGCTTGAAATGGTCAAGATGGGTTTTTTTTTTCATTTGAAAGAAGAAAACCCGCTTTTCTCCTTCCATCGTGCGGCCGTTGAACTGATTGATGTCGCCAAAACATAAAGCCGGAAGTTACGGCTGGTCTGAAATTATACTGGAGGTGACAACATGGTGGTGGGTGCAATCAAAGAAATGCATGCTGTGTGAAAATCACACGTAAACTGCGCGTTTTCTTCGTCGTCTTCTTCTTGTTTTTCTTTCTTTAAATGATATAAGTGGCTGGACGAGCAGCAATTACAAGTGGCCGCATGGCACAAATGAAATCGCGTAACAGAATGAAGGAAATTAGAAAATTATCACACTATTTCATTTATTGAATCGAGGCTTGTAAAAGTATCAATGACACTGTAATGGGAGTATGCTTCATTTGCCACAGGAAGTATTCAAGCACAGAAACAAAACTGATTGGAAAAAAACGGTTTTCGTGTGATTTTAACCATAATATGTCTATCGCTTTGTTTCGAATTGGTCTACAGTCGGTGGTCATATAACCATCGAGCATTTTTCTTTCTCATTAAATACGGTTCGCGTTGGGATTTCAAATGACGCAAGTCCTTCAAAGCAAACACTTTCCTGAAGCGTTTTTCCTTTTCGTTGTTCGAAACTGTTCGGAACGAAAAAGAGAAGAGGTCATAGTCAAGTGTTAAAGATAATAAAATTTGATTGAAAAATTTCATTTTAAACGCGATGAATAACTTTTGAAATCTCAATAAATTACCAATTCCATGGTTAACGGCAAGGAAAAATGTCACGCCGTTTGGACGTTACATGAATTTCCCTTCTAAAAGTGAATTTTTCGCCCAAACACCTGGATATGTATTATTTAATTTCAGTGAGTAGATTTGACAACTTAGAACTCGTACACATCGGATGAATAACAATGAAGTAGCAAAGACTGATTGAGAGTAATCCATCGTTTAATTAGACCAGCACAGCAGAAATAGTGCGAAATGGCTGAAGGTGCATTTCTAGTTTCTTGGCATTTGTTTTTTTTTTAGCTTCGCAAGCAACGATTGTTTTCTTGTTTTCTCAGGCATAGAAAATCATCATCATTTCATTGTGATGATGAAATGCGTGCATCTGTGGTGCGTTTGTGTGCTGTTTGTTTATGGGTTTATGGCCCTCGTTTGATCCATTTCGTATTTCAAGTGTGAAATTGATTAAATGGAGCAGTGCTAAGGTGAAGCCACTGCAGCATACTAACATTTCAAATGGAAAATGGAATTGATTTGAATGCGGCGCGTTAATTTATAATGAGTGGATGCAATCGTCGTTTCAATGCCCATGCCATGGGGCTTGGTGCTTGGAACGGAGCGAGAGATTGTTGCAATTGCTCGAATGGTGCTTTGCCTTGGGTGATGAATTTCATTTTGATTCCACAATACACGGTTTACGTTTTCATTGTTCAACCACTTAAAATCCATTGTGTACGAATTATGCAGATGATGTTAAAGAAAAAGAAGAAGATTCTCTCTCTTCCATCTGACGCCTGAACAGCATGCAAATCAGCAGAGAGACTACAAGAACATGACACTGCAGATTGAAATGAAAAATCCATTAAATCCGTGAGTGTTGACTGCTGATCCGATATATGAAGTGCCGTTGCAGAAAAACTGAACGGTCGCGCGCACTCTCTCTCTTCGCACACACCACACAACGTAACTTCTTTTACGCACTAATTCAATATTCATTTAATAAAACAGTTAAACCCATTTACATCTTTTACATCTTCTGGCGTCACTCGCTCATTATACACACAAACCGTGTCTTATCGCAATTGATCACCAACAATGATATATATTCTCATTCAGCCTCCTTTAATTTCAAGCGGACGGATTCAGTCAGTTGGCCCAGACCAGCAAGAAAAAAAACTAATGAACCTCTTTCTATTTTACCTTTTCTAGAAATATAAACAAAATCAATATCGTATACATCTCGTCATCGTTCGCCACACCATCTTACTTGATCGCGCGCGAAAATTTTCTTCTCTATTAAATTTATGCAGATTTAATTTTCGTTTAATATGAAAAATTACTCGATTGTTTTACTTAAGAAATACCTCTAATTCTCTTCGCGACTTTTAGCTTAGATGTTCATTATTCACTTTACTATATCATTTTCTTTTTGTTAAATCTAAATCGAATACGCTGCCTGAATGTCTAGTATGCATCGATAGGATGTTGATTTTCAATTGAACTGAACGACCCAATTTCGTGTCTTTTGTTCTGCACCCAATTAATGGGGCAATTCGATTAAGAGCAATATCGATTATAAATTGATTCGATCTGTGTACTTACCAGGTAGTAATCGATGGGCTTTTCACGCCGTTTATTGTATGCTTTTTGGATTTCCGTTTGTTTGAGTGCATGGGCGATGTGTAATGCACTGGCATCGAAGCGACCGTACTTATAATCGCTGTCATTATGTGATGGTGAACTAATATCCCTATTGTTATGATAGCCATTTGGTGTGATTTGACGTTGCACTGTTGAGCCGACATCGATGAGGGGATAAAAGAAAAGATGAAAAAAATATACAAAAGAAACGTTTAGTCTATTTCTAAGGAATAAGCTATCATAATGACTATAATCTGAACAAAACAGAAGCAAATGAAAGAAATTTCGTGTGAGATGGATTTTTGATGTAAAATCTATTTGGAAAACTAAAGAAAAAAAATTGCTCGTTTTCACATTCACTTTTTTCTGCTCGAACTGAAGAAGAAAGAAGCAGCAAAAAAAAATTCGATATTTAATTTGAATGAAAGTGGTAAAATGCGATCAAAAAATCGCTCGATTGCATCCATTTTTCTGTTGAAACATTAAGCTCTGCTTTGTTTTTATTTGCGCTAGCCATTTTTTTCCATCGAATTGTCAATATGTTTTACAGCTGAATTAATCACCGCCAAACAATGTTTCAAGCAAACAAAAAATTTGTTTCTTAATTTTTTTTCTTTCTGAATCGCTGTGTTGCTGTTTGCTGAATAAATCTGGTAAAACTGTGCAACGAAAACCAAAAGCGAGCCGATAATCGCAATGAAATGCAACTAAAATACCGACACATCTTTAGAAACTTTTGTTAACGCATCAAAAGCGTGCGAATGAGTGAATGAGTGAGCGAACGAAGAGAAAAAAGTAAAAACCATTGCTGAGGATAGGAGGGCACACCGAATAATTAAAACCGATGATTTCTTTCTCGTTCGGGAACTTTTGGTTTTTAAATTGCAACAGCATCAGCTTCTTAATTGAAATGCATTAATAGGAAAAAGTGAAACATAAATTCAAGCGCAGAATGGTGTGTGTATGTGCGCTGGCCAAAGCGCCTCATGAAGTAATTTTCGTACATTTTCATAACACAAAATCATTTTAATTTATTCCGCAGAAAGACGAAAACTTTGAATAGCAATCAAACAACAATAACAGTTTGAACAACGCTGTTCAAATAACCAAAGCACCGACGGCAACAAGCATAATGAATTCAAAAAACGCATTACTTTGTTGGGTGTGTGAGCACGAGCACATTTTCAATCAACTGAACCAAATTTTCATTTCTGTTTTCTTGTATCGAGCGATTATGCTGCGCTCGGCCAAAGGAAGTGGCCATTTTTTCTGTTCTCTTCGCTCAATCGCTCGGCCGACCGTTTTGTCCATAGAGGAATTAGATTTCACCAGTTTTTCCGCTCTTTGATTATTCTATGAAATTCATTAAACATATACATTTTTTTCATTCTCTCTCTCTCTCTCTCTCTCTCTCTCTCTTTATCTCTTTTGGATTCATATATTTGTTTTCGCCGCTAATCTTGTTCAAAACCATTATATTTTCACATTTCGATTCAGCGTCGATATGTCTATTAAAACATAAAATGCCAATGTAAATTTGTGTGTTGTGCCAAATGTAGAGGTACAAAAAAGGTGTTGTATTCATTGTATGTTTCACTGTTTTTCTTTCTCTCTGATTCTCCCTCGATATATAATATATTTCATTTGATTTGAGCACTTTGTCGATTCGATTCGAAGAAAAATTGTAGAATGCATTGTGAAAACGGACTAGAAGCAACACAACAGCAACAAACAAAAAGCAGGAATACGAAGCACATCGAGATAATCAATAATTTATCAATTGAACATGGAGTGGGTGTGCTGCTGCGTTGGAAATGGGCGCGCTAAAACTAGCATAAACAGAAGAATGAAGCGAAAAAACACTGGTTTTGTATAATTGGATGCATATAAATGAAAATTATGAATGAATCAGCGTACCGTGCAAGTGGTCATGGGCAAACACAGCTAAGAAATAAAGCAATAAAAGAAAGATAGATAAAAACTGCGTGAGGATTTCTCTCTATTTCGAGAAGAAAATCGAAATAAATCGTTTCGAGGTGACTACGATGAAAAGAGTGTGAGAGCATGACCAAATCTAATCAGTTAAGTTTAACACTTGTATTATAGATTTGTAACAAAACACTGGATTGAATTTGTATCTTTCTCTCTCTCTCTCTCTCTCTTTCTTCTCCTCTCTATGTCTCTGGCTTACCCAAATGCCGGAAAGGCTGCAAAAGAATTTCAAGCGATCTTTTATATGTAAATTCATTTGTTCAATGATATCGATATGAAAGCGCATACATTTAATTGCAAAATTGCTGCTTCGAATTGGCGAAGCATTAGTATGGTGAGCGAGCGAGCGACCCCTGATGCGTGTGCTTCATTTGGTTGCGAAGAACAAATAGTGAATGACGAATATAAATCGCGGCCAATTTTTAGCATTGTGAATTGAATTGCTTTTGTAGCATTGGCGCAGTGACGCAGTGACGCAGCGAGCCAATTCAAAAGGAAGAGTTAAATAAGCCAATTTGATGTTTTTAATCGAACACTTTTCTCTCTTGTGTGTGTGTGTGTGTGTGTGTGCACGCGAATTTGTATTTTGCCGCTGTGCGTTTTCCATTCGATCGTTCGTTTGTACGTTTGCTTCACAATTACACCCAGCGCACATAATTACGGCCTTTATTTGGATTTGATTCGATTTTATGCATGACAAAATCTCTCGGCAGCACCAAAGAAATACAACGGAATCAATGAGAGCTCAAGTTGGAAAAAAAGCAAACTCACTGACAACACCGATTGACTGTTTGATTGAACGTATTGAGCTGTCTACCTTCATCTTCATTGTTTTCCATTCTCTAATTTATAGCTAAGTCGACCAAAATGGTATTTATGATTTCTGGTATAGATTTTATGCACTCCAATTCAATTAATATTCTGGTTTTTGTTGTTGTTGCAATGAGAAAGTTTGATGAAACAAGGAGCGGATCAATTCAAATGCACTCGCTTTTTTGACGTCATATCCGATAGGCCCCAATGGTTTTGATGTTTTTTTCTCTCTCTCTCTCTCGCCATTCAATTCGCTCCACATTCAACGCTTTTCCAATCAAATTTTCACTCGGCACTGAAGTAATCACTATCTTCGAACTATTTGCACACTCGAAAATTGCCGGTGTTATCAAGATTGAAGAAAGTGTTTTTGTTTTTCATATTAAAATTGCTACCTATTGGTTGCCAAGAGACAGAAAAACAACAAAGATAATAAGCTAAAACGTAAAATCTTACGGTCGATGTCTCTGGATCCACCGCGAATCTGTTCATTCACTGGTTTATTTGACTTGGGCGCATTCAATGCTTGACGAATACCAACCGATGTCTGGTCCAAATGTCCGGGCCCACTTTTTGGTACGTGTGAACTGCAGTAGACCTGGAACAATACATTAATTCACATTATTATCGATCACTAGATGGTTGATTGGCAGATTTTCTTTCGTTCATTTTGAGAATGATTTTAATGAAAACTTGTAAGGAATTGATTTTTAGAAAACGGAGATTTTTCAATGGATTTGAAAAAAAAAATTGATTATATGGAGCTTTTTTGCGTGATTCAAAATGAATTGTAATTTAAAGAAGAGCTGACAATTAATTGTCATTCAAATGATATTCGGTGAAGTTACCTCTTTGTCTTCTTGTTTGTGTTGATTATTGTAATATGTTTTGAGTGTTAATTTTGTGCCGCAGGTAACGCACTTAAAGCAGCCGGAATGGAAAAAGGTAAAGTCTTTTAACGGTCCAACACGATCCACTTGATAGACAATCTCGTTGCACCGCAAGCAAGTCGATTCGTAGAAATTCGGTCGATACATCATCTCTGAACGTTTCTTTTTTATCTTTGCTTATATTCGAGAACAATTTTCTGCTATTGCTGCAACGCACATACAATTTATACGCGATTGTACTGCTGTCACCAACTTATTGTAATTTTGTCGTTGTTGTTGTTGGGTTTTATTTACAATTTTTCACCAATTCTTTTAGAACGCGCACATATTTATTTTCCGTCACTTCCGATTCCGAAACTGTTATTTTTGTTTCCAGATGCACAAACACTGCCTTTGTCTCTCTTAATGGATCACATTTACAAGCACATTTTCATTTTCATAATTTTTTTTCCTCTTTCTTCAGTTCGGTGTAACTCGTGTTCGTGTGATGGTTATGAAATGGACTTGCTGTGTCCACGATCTATAAACAGGCGAGAACAAAATACAAATTAACACACAATTGAACAAAACAATGAAGGCCATGGGCTTATTACTACTATTTATCTCAGTGAGTTGTCCAAAAAAAAAAAAAAAACGAACATAAAATCGCACTGCATATCGAATTTCAAATACTTTCCGTCTGAGGTCACTTCATTGTTGCAATACACATGGTCGTCGCGATGCGAGTGTGTGAGTCTGTGTTGAAACACAAGAGCATCGCCAAACAATACAATGTGTTGTGTCGTGACAAACAAACTGTATATACGGAATTTTTCAGTTACAAGTTGCTGTTGTTTTGGTTTCAAGCTGACTAAACAAATAAAGGTTCTAATCTATTTTGAATCGGCCAGCGCAAAAGCCATGAACTATACTAGCTAAGAGACTAAAGCGACGACACATCGAGTACACCCACGAACGAATGATTAAAGATCGAGCTCCATATTGTCTTGGTCTTCAATCGATTGAATTAACTATATCCGTACAAACAAATTTGGTTTTTTTTCCCTTCGAAATGAACGAAATTCGTGTAGATTTTGGTTTTCGTGATTTCTAATTTAAAGACACCACTGTTGTAAAGGTATGCGATTGTTGTGATTTCAAAATAGTGCATTTGCTGCTATTGCGATGAAATCGAAATATTTTGTTTGACTTGAAGGTGTAGCACATCGATATAAATAGCATGCTTATGCTTCCATATCGCCATTTTCAACCATACATCACCATAATTTTATTTACTTAATTGATCTGAAGATGAAACACATCATAAACTAAAAATGGGCCCAAAAAAACGACCGGTGAGTTGCGAAACGGTGACTGAAAAGTATCAAAGCGTGACCATATTGAAAATACCCATTTCCAATTGTCTTAATTAAAAAAAAAAAAAATCAAAAAATCGAATCGATTATTATTCAAGCAGCGTCACATACACACACAGCGAGACCGCAACTGATTCGATTTTAAATGCGACCGGTTTAATTGAAACGCAATGACAGCCTCTTGAAGACGTGTAAACGGGCTATTATCAACCCACAAGGAGAAGGCAACCAACGTTCGTATGAGCGCGCGCTTTACCATGCTCATTACATGGTAAATTCTATATGAATGTATTCCACGGTATTCATTACACAATCGGGCAATTAAACCATTACATCGATTTGGGAAGTGAATCATTTCCAAAAATTACCGTTTTGTTATCCATTTCACATTTCGATTCGAAAAAAAGCGAGAAAATTGGCCAAAGCACGCCTGCTTTGTGCATCAAAAAAGCACATGGTTCGTCGTGATTTCAAAACCACTTACCAAGATACGGAAGTGATAGTGATAATGGATTGAAAGCAAGTTTCTTGATGAGTTCAATGTTTTTTTTTCATAATTCAGTTTGGTTTGCTATTGTTTGAATGGCTCTCAAATTCAATATAACATATAAAACATCGTCGTTTAAATATTCATGACATCATATTCTTCAAAAAGATTTGCAGCCTACGCTTTCACGCCGGAACCAATATCTCGAACTACGCATATATACGAAATTCTTCTTGGACTTTGGTAATTTGGTTTGCGTTTTGTTTTTGGCTCTCTCTGATTTCGAGCTAAGTTTTACGCATTATGTCATTTATGCGCAATTCGAACTTAACACCATACTAAACTAAATTAAATAACTGTCATTATTGGCAATATCATCTGCGAAATTTGAATGAACCAAATTTATGTGTTTATTTCAGAACTGTCTTCAATGCAATCGTCAACAGAAAAAGAGAAGAAATAAAACAAACAAACCAAAAGCTAAAACGAAAATATCGGCTCAATCGATCAAAATCATTCTTACTCTCGTTTGATTTCGATCAATGCTGATTACATTTCCAAGCGACAAAATGGCAAAATTGGTCGTGGGTTTCTTCGCGCCAGTTTCATTGAAGAAGAAATGGATCTGTTACTATATCCGGATGCGGTATTTGGTGTTTGATGGCTCTTTTTTCGCACACTATCGCATATTTATTGATTTTTGTCATCGTCGTCGTTTTTTCATTCAGTTCGGAAATTTCCAATTTTTTTTCTATGTTGGCCGGGCCAGTTTGGCCATGTTCAACACCCGTTACTAAAGGGGGACAGCGTTTAAATGTACATTTAACGCGCGCTTTTGACAGCCTATTTGGTTTTGTGTGCCATGATAAACTAGCTTTGTTGTTGTTGTTGCTGCTGCTCACCACGCAGATATGCTTTGTCAGACAATTTGATGAGTGTTTCTTTTATTTTCACCTTCCACGCTCTGAACCAACCACGGCCAACGACAGAAACGACAGACGATTTTTTCGGACGAATTTTAATCTTTTAAAAATAAAAATATGCAAATGAAAAACTTTAGATATGTTTGAATACATTGATGTCGTTGTGTCGGGAGACGGCGCACTTTTTGATCCATTGATGAATTTAACGAGCTTTATGAACACGTCAAGCGACGACGCACAGATAATGTAAATAAGGAGAAAAAGACACTCAATGGGAGTATACGCCGAAATTGAAAGAAAGACCGGAAAAACATACGAAGCTAATTTAGCTATTTCGGCTTAGGGCCGAGTTTTTTTTTCCGAGATATCAAAATCCTACAAATGTTGGACAAGATCCAAATAGCCGATTGTTTTTTCTTTTTAACTTCTTTCGTTGTCTGATTATGAACACAAAATATTTGAGTATGCTTTTTTGGTATATACGCGATCTGTCAGCTCAAAATGACCGAGACAAATTCCAAAAATCTGTGCACGCGGGAGAAAATCGCTCAAATTGAATCCCATTTGGTGTGTTTGATCGATAAAATACGATGCAAACTCATTTTTGACCAGAAAAAAATTCTGAAGAAATGAAATTTAACATCAATAACTATTGTAGAACTTGATCGCAAAAAATACACAAAAATACGTTGCAATCAATCCAATTTTGGTTGGCGATTGAAGAATCATTTTGCTATCGCTCACCAACGTTTTAATGTGGCAACGATACCGTTACAAAGAAAATATTGCAAAAAATAAAAAATGAGTCTCTCGAAAATGTTCACACCACCGCAAAGTAGACTTCGCCCAAAACAATGCCGCCACTGTTGACGAAGTAAGAAAACAAAAATGAAAAATGGAATTTGTTGTCAAATGCGATAAATCGAATTTGTGAGTGAATGGACTTGATAGCGAGGCGAAAGAGAGAGACAAAGAGAGAGACAAAGAGAGAGACAAAGAGAGAGAGAGAGAGAGAGAGAGAGAGAGAGAGAGAGATAGAGAGAGAGAGAGAGAGAGAGAAAGAGTGGAGGAGATAGGTTTGAAATGCAAATTGACTAATAAAGAGTAGAAAATGGTGGTGGATCAATCATTTATAATGGATTATAGAAATTGCATAAATTCATCACGCGCGCACAGAAGAGAAATGAACGTTTTGGCATCAATGATGACGGCAGCTGAACAAACCGGATAAACCGATTAACACGCTTGGGCTTGTGTCAATTACCGACTTTGTTGCGTTGGAGAAAAAAAAGAAACTGGCTCCATTTAGACTAATCACCCTGCACTTTTCGGATTAGCCATAGCAAGAGAAAAACGTTCTGGTTGGAATGAACACCGTGTTTTTTTCTTCGGCCAGATGATGGGAGTTCTGCTAGTTTTTCTCTATCGCCCTCTTCCTCTCTCAAAAAGTCGAGAAATTTTTCTCGAAAAAACGCATGCATATTTAGAAATATGTTTTATAATGCTTGAAAAAAAAAACGACGAAAGATAGATGAGCCAAAGAGAGAACATGTGAATGCCGTTATAATTCTTCGGTTCACAAAACACTTTCGAGTGCAGCAGCCGCACAATGTCGGATGAATATAGGATGTGGCATCATCGCACACGAGTGATAAAGTAAACAAGCGCATATTCTTGCATCAAATGAGCATTAACTGGAATGGCAAAGAAGCATCAGCAGTAGCAGAAGAACAAGATTTGCCGGAGAGACAGAGTGCGCAATGCGCATTGTTGTGTTGATTTCATGTCAAAAAAATTTAATATATGTATGCATGCGAATTTTCTTGGGTTCTAATCATGTTCCATGTCTGTTGCTGCTGCTGCTGCTGCTGCTGACGTCGTTTCGGTGCGTGGATTTGCTTTGGTTTCCATAAGTTTAAACGAACGAAAAAAGAATATTGTGAGTGTGTGTGTGTGTGGGAGGGGGAGGGGAGAGATAGAAACAAATCGTGTTGTTTTTCTATACACATTTCATTTGCTGCTATCTTCTCATTTTGGCATTTACTTAACGCCGACGATTCGCCCAATCAGCAATTGTACTATGACGATGAAGAATCTCCGTCATCGTCGTCGACATTTGATGATGAAAAATAGATTAAAAAGCATTCACATTTGATGTGAACTGCATCGAGCAGCGTCTGAAATAAACTTCCCGAATGAATGTCTATTTTGGATGGTGAGAACACAATGCATATTCGTAGTGTTAGCTAACCGAATATGATTAGATAATAAAACTAACAAAAGAACACGCTAAACTAAGGCACATTTCCAACAACAACCAAAACAGAGAGGAAAAAGACGAAGAAGAAGATAAAAAAAAAAGAATGAAAACTTTCTTCTCTTCCATCCATTTCATATCAGTTGAATGTTTCCATCATGCAACATTTCAAAAGCGTTAACGAGACTCAAGGAGCGCACACAGACAAACAATTTACACACTTCGACGCTCTTACGCTCGCAAACAGAGAGAAATAATACAAAATTGTGTATGTATAGGAACGAAATGTGGAAAAAATATATTGAAAATGAATACTTAATTTAGATGTTCTGGCTAGTGTTGCCCGTATTTGGAAGAGTGGCATCAACTGAATTTTGACATAACATTTTAGCAAAGAAAAATGGATATAACATTACCAATGTCGACTCGAAATCGATTAAGGCAACCAAATAATTTACCATCGTGTGCTCGTTCATCGATCGCAATACGAAAATCCTATTCAGACTGTGTGTGTATGTGTCGCATTCAATGCCGCCGCTTCTCTATTAGCATTTTTTTTTGCGTAAAAATAAGCTCTTTGGCCAATTGGCGTGTATTGTCTCTGTCGTCGAAGACATCATCGTGAAGTGTAAGATTCTGCAGATATCATTTTAAGTCGTGAATTGCTCTGGTTTTTCGTCACTTTGCACATATGTTTCAATTCATCGCGAAACCAACACCGAAAATGACATTTTTACCATGAATAAATATGTGGGGGCTGGCAGCGCACATAAATGAATCGCAACTTATTGAATCATCTTTCTGCTGCTGCTGCTGCTGCTGCTGCTGCTGGTGCCGCGGCTGCCCATATGAATGGTAAAAAGAGACATGACCGCGTTTAACTTAAACCCGTGTGTTCCCTCCCAAATGACAATGACCGAAGCAATAACAACCAGCAAAAAAAATTTAAATGAAGCAATGGACTTATATGGCCTATATTTGATTTAATTGCAATCGAAACACAGCTTTTGGGAATTCGTTTGCAATTTTGATTGTCTTCAATTACAAATGATCAAGTACATACTCGGTCACAAGAATCTCAAGCTGGAATTTGATTACGATTCACAACAGATGCAATTTTTTTTCACTCTTCGCTCAAACAATTGCGAATAAATTTTCAGTGCGAGCGATGATTTTTAGAAAAGGTGAGAATTTCTTTCGTTATTGCTGCTGTTGTTGTTCCACAAACACGCACACACACGTGTGAATTCTTCTTCGTTTCAAATTGGAATTTCGGATGAGATATTTTGCAGTAACTTGTTCACATTTGATTAAAGAACCGAAGTCATTTGTCATGGAAAAGGGTTGTAACGGCAGACAGAGTTTTCACATGTGCGCATATGTAACGTATGCATGTGTGTGAAGATATCTGCGGTACATTGGGTTTTTTGCGGCAAGGCGGTCACACAATGCAATCTCACACACTTGATCGCTCATACACACGAATAAAAGACATCGATGACCAAATAAGAGACGAAAATTGAATGTGCAATTTAACAAGCTAAACAACTGAAATCGGAGACAGCTCATTGATCGAACTAAATTATATCGCAGATCGGTTTCAACAATGAAAAGAAAAAAGAAAAAGAGCAGCAGCAAAAGCAACAACGACGAAGATGACGGCGGCGAAGACACGGACAATGTAAAGTTCATTTTCGTCATCATCATCATCATCATCATCACGACAACGACGCAATGACCAAAAATTTAATTCAATACCATTTTCGTTGCGTAAATTATTTATGTTTGCCTTTCCGCAATTCTTTTGTCATGTTTCGATTCCGAGCCAAAAGTGAGCGAGTGCTCGCGCTCGCACTCGCGCGCACACAAATCCCAATAAGCGTTCGTATTCAGAGAATCAATCAATTCACAAACTGCAAATTCGATGTCACTAATTTGCTTTATAAACACGAATTTGTCCAAACAGAGAAAACCTTTATATTATTCCACCGGAATTTCGCGTGTTTTTATTCGTCGGGTTACGCTTTGCAACAACAAGTAAAATTGGTACCATTTCAACTGAAATTCATTCACTGAATTCAAAGCCAAAATGCACTTGCATGCTTAACTTTTGCTTTCGATTTGTGCTGGGTGTTTGTTTTTTGTGTCGTCTTTTTTTTGTCTCTATCGTAGGCAAAAATTGTTCAATTTGTCAACTCGTCGAAAATAAAATGGAATTGAATCGTTCCATTGGTTACATAAATTTTGTCGAAGTGATTTTTTTTAATCTCTATTTAATTTTCGATTGAAATGTAGAGCGGTGCACATTTTTTTGGGTTTTGTTTTTTTTTTTTTGACAGGAGAATTTTACCTTATTCTCTCTATCTCTTCTCTTCTTATTTTTATCAAATTTCTCTCGACAACTCTCTTGTAATACACAGTATAATACCGCACAGATTCAGAAAAATGCCATGAAAATTGTTGAGAGAGAGCAAGAGCAAAAGAAATGAACTGTTGTAAAAAAAAACCAAAAACAAAAAAATATGTGATGAACTAAACTACAAAAACAACACCAGAAACAATTATAAAGAGTCAGAAGAATAGTATGTACATGTAGAATTGTATTTTATGGAAAAACAACACACATAAATGAACTAATAACAATAATAATAAACAAACAAGAAATTCCACTTTGCGGCAAACAAGAGGAACACTTCTTCATTAGGCCGAATTAAAGTCGCGACTGTTCAAATCGTGCAAGATTCAAGTTTTCGATACGAATATTATGACTTTGGGTTTGCGCGTGTTGTTGCTGTTGTCCCGCTCGCGCATTTGTGCTCGATCGCTCTGTTGTGTTGCGCAGCATTAGCACGCTGTGTGCCGTTGAAGCGGATATATTCCACTTGAATATATACGTATACCTTTGTCTACGTCTTGAGTAAGTGGCGATCATCTCTTTCCATTTGCCGTACGACCATAGCTAGCGGCTTATCTATCTTATTCGCTTTTTGTTCTCTTGATCTCTTGCTTCTTTCCACCATTCGTTTACGCTCTCTTCTCATGCCATACAACAACACACTGTGTTTATACTTTTTTTTCTTCTTCGATTTCGTTTTAACAAATACACAAATTCTTTGGTGCTATGAGAGCGCGCGCAAGAGAGCCGCGCATGTTGCGAGAGCCGTGTGCCGATTTCGCACCGCCTGATATTACAAAGACACATACTCAGATCGTGGTTTGGTCGTATATGCGATCAAGGAGGGACAGAGAGAAGAAGAAGAGAAAGAGAGATGTGCGGACGCTGTCAACTGTATATAGATATGAAGAGACAACAAACGCAAAATATGTGGAACTACGCGGCTTTAAATTATGATTGCTAAGCGACTACGGTTATTGATGCTTAAGACAGCGGAATGCCTGGTATGTGTGGTGAGTATGGGTCTATGCTAGACCTATCGACAAACCAACCGATCATTCTTTTTTGGTTGCTGGTGCTGTTGTTATATATATATGTATCTGCGTGCACCTTCACCGACTCCACGGCATTTCGATGCTTCTGCTGCTTCTGCTGCTGCTGCTGCCGCTGCTGCTGCTGCTGCTGCTGCTGCTGCTGGCCGGCTGGCTAGCTGTTATGATCGAGTGCGAAAAATATGTGTAATGTATTGTGTATGGCCGTCTCTTGTCTCGTCAATTCCAATTTTTTATTGTGGTAGCACACAGAATGTGAGCAAACCCACACATCATATGCGCGCGCGCCCTCACACACAGTCCATCTTGACCCAATCAACTGTGTGTGTTATTTTGAAGAGGCGAAAACATAAAAAGTCATTAGATTTCGATGGCCCCAATTGTAATTTGGTTGACGGTTCGATTTGCGACGCGATTTTGGCCTTTTTTTGTCAGGAGAAACATAATGCTTTTCTTGAAATTTATCTTAGAAAATCGAATTTTTTTTTGTGCAGAGAATAGATGTGTGATTGAAATTAACATCTATGCCGTTGCATTTGGACTGAATTTTCATAATGAACCAGCAAACTATTGAAAAAAGCTGTATGCTTTTGATTAAACTTGATTTCAAATCGAAACAAGCAACATGGTCAACATTCCTCGCCTGTCAATTTGCACATAATGCGCTGTGTGCTCCTCAATATGACCGATGCGAATGGAAATAGGTAAAGAAGCCACTTTATGTTGATGTTATTCTTTTTTTTCGTTCTGCTTTTTCTTCTTCTTCTTCTGCGAATGAGTAACACAGAACATGCGTCAATTCGTTTTGTTGCACCAAACTGGGCGCAACAAAATGTTCGGTTCAAAGGTGAATTATGTTCTTATTTCGCTAGAACTGGATGGCATATTTTCCAATTTTATGCGCACATTCTGAACGAAAACTAGCCAACTTACACATATTGTGTGTGTGTGTGCTCAATTGTGTGTGGCTTGTGTGCAAAAGTTGTTTCTCCAGTTTGACCGCGCTGCTAATTTCGCTGCATGTAAAACAAAATTGGTTTCGAGTGTGTTTCGTTCGCGCACCATGTGCGCAAAAAAAAACAGAAAAAGAACAGGACTTTTTCCTTCTGCTGGCTCGAAAGTAAGCAATTCGCTTCATCGAGGGCATATTCTAATATCGGCTATGTTGTTCGGAGATTTGACATGGGGCCGCCTCTTGTTGTTGATAAACAATGCAATCAATGAATAAATGGATGGACATGCGGCCGTTTAAATGAATAAATAGACCGTCGACAGACACCGTTTGCCTGATGCACGGCGGAGGTGCGCGTGCGCGAATGTTTTGAAGAAATTGTGCGCATAACCGGTTATATTATATTCATATGCACACATCCACAGACTGAATATCTTGAGCGAGAGATTTTCTCTTTATCATGGAAAGCGCTGTTAAATGGAAAACAAAAGTTTTTTTTTACTTCTTTTGCTGTTGTGTTCGCACATGTTTACAAACATGAATCTGTACCGAGTGGCCGGCAGGCAGACCCTCATGGAAATTCGATCGAATCGCGCACGCGCTTCGATCGAAAGTGCCGAAAATGTACATATTTTATTTATATTTTTTGGTCGAGATTTTTTCGTTGTACAACATAAACACAAAACACAATCAAAATCACAAATCCGTAACGACAACAATATGTACGTATGATTGGCCCGAAAAAAAAAACGCACATGCATATTAAATTGTAATGAATAGATCAGGAGGATGATGAAGAAAACAATTGCCATCTAATTTCTCTCGCTCTTGTTCGCTCATTTTGCAGCAGCAGCAGCAGCAGTTTGGGATTTTTTTGTGTTTGAAAAACAAGCTAAATGCAAACAGCGAAAACAACAAAGCAGAATTCACCGCAAACAGAATCTATTCAATTGGAAAATTCATTAAAAACTAAATACGTTGCTTGCAATTCAAACGGTTAATTTTCTACGTTATACACTCACCGAAATGTAGTGCATAGAGCGATTAAGAAATCACACAGAAGCAGAGCACACAACAAATGCTGATTATAACGACGATAATCATAAGTTAAACATTGCTTGAATTCGTTTTTGGTACGGATTTGAGGCGAACAAGCGAGCGGGTGAGTGTGTGGAAATGCGCGTTGATTGAGGCATGTGTGCGCGCGCGTGCGCGTTTGAACAAGCGAACGCATTTGCAAAACAAGCGAAAATATGAAATGAAGTAATTTCCAATCACAAAACGATTTTGATCAAAATATCACTTTTGGTTTGGCGCGAAAAATTCAACTCCAACCAAAACTCAACGTATTTTCAGATTGCACTGAAATGCTTCGAACTGTACTGCATACTTATGAGTGGCGAATGGATATATGGACTTTTTTCTACTCTTTCTCTCGCTCGCGATCTCTTCTCATTTTTTTCTCCCATTTTTGTTAATTTTTAATTGTTGGCATTTTTTCTATTCGTACCTTCGCTTATGGTTTTCTCTCTCTCTCTCTCTCTCTCTCTCTCTCTCTCTCTCTCTCTCTCTCTCTCT